TAACGACGTTTTGAATTTTGATAGAGGGCTCTCTTTTGCTTGTCGAGATGTGACATTGACAAGATTGGTGTGAGTATAACCCTTTGAATATGGATATTATCTTGAGGAATGGCGGTGTATTATTCAGGATACACAGCCTGCCCATTTTATGGCTTTCCTATACTAGTATTTGTGTAATGATGATATATAATGTATTTCTAAAATTTTTTACAATATTTTTGTATTTTTATGTTTATAAAAATTATTTTTATTTATCACATTTTTATGGTTCATTAATATAAAGATATTGTTCAAATAATTTTTTTTTGCAAAGTAATAAGAATTTTATTAATTCTTATTATTCTTACTTATTATGGTTCATTAATAAAATTAATAATTTTCATCGGTCATCTTCGTCAGAATTTTATTTGAATTCTCCTTACCTTTGCAAGAATTAACTTCTATATGATAAATCCAATTTCAACTATTTCAATGGTCAAAAACATTATAATGAACTACTACCAAAAAGTATCACTTACTCTTGTGGATATCTTGTCTTCCAATTATGTGGGCTTTAAGATAACGGAAATAAAAAATTAACCCACCATATGGTGAGAATAAAGAAGAGAAAACCATCTACTACCTTAATGATCAAGAACTGAATCAATGAAAATAGGTTAAAAATATTTAAAAAAACAAGAAAAGAATTTAAAGAATAAATTGCTCATCAATTTGCAATTTGAAAATTTCTTCACGGTGGTTAATGTGGCCCAACATTGGCTATTGAGAACATAAGACGTACTTTCAGATTTTTTTTTTTAATTTAAATAAATGAAAGAGTAAATTGCTAAAACCTCCCGTAAAATTTTTTATCATTGTTGAACCCCCTCCCCTAAAGTTTGGTAAACTCAATCACCTCCCATGAACTTTTTGACACAGTTGCAAGTAAACCCTCTGTTAATCTTCTAACAAAAAGCACAAAATGTCCAAAATACCCATATAGTTACTTTTGACCAAAATGTTTATTTTTCAAATTTTTTTCTTTATATCAATCACTACCCCAATCCCTTCTAATCTCTTTTTCGAAATTGATGTATTTTCCAAAATTGCCTTTCATACCAATTGCTCGAAGCTAAAATTTCTACTTTAAACTCTTTTTTATTTGTATAACATTTACATTGTTTTTTTATGAACAAACCAACCTCAATAATAATTACATGGGTATTTTGGACATTTTCATGCCTCTTGTTAAAGGATTTTACAAAGGGAGACTACTTGCAATTATGTCAAGAAGTTTAGAGGAGGTGATTGCAATTACCAAACTTTAGGGGAGGTTTGGGAAACAGTCAAAAACTTCAAGGAAGGTTTCAGTAATTACCGTGGTTTGTTTTCCAATTATTCAACAAAAAGAGGATTTTTTTTTTGTATTTTCCCTAACAAACATTACATGGGAATGTTAATTAAATAATATTTTTGCCATTGATGACTTGTTTTACAATTATGAACAAGAAGAATGGAGTTTTTTGTCTTTTCGTAATAAGCATTAAATGAGAAAGAAGAGTCATTTCTTGATAAGCATCAAATGAGAAAACAAAATTACATATTTGTAATTGCTCATTCTCTTATTTAAACGTTAGAGATGATATATTTTAGTCTAGTGAAAATTCCATAAATCAACCACATCTATTTGTACTTTTATAGATAGTATAGATATGTCCATTTGGTGAAAAATCCAGAGACTCCAAATCAATTGTGGTAAGGTTGTTAAAGGGATTTTGAATGTTCAAAATTCGATACAATTATCTGAAATTCAGATGATATGTGTATATATACCTTTATTTGATGCCCATTTATGGCTTTCCTAGATATGCCCATTTAGGGAAAAATCCGAAGAGTGCAAATCAATTGTGGTAAGGTTGTTAACCCATTTTGAAAGTTCAAAATTCGATCCAATATCTCAGATTTAGATGATATGTTTATACAATTAGATTGATATCCGATTAATAATCAGATTGGATATAGATTTAATTAACTTCTTCTGATTAAAATTTGAATATAACTATATTATATTATATATTGAGTTTGATATATAAAAATTATATAATTAATTATATTTAAATATAAAACCAATAGATAAATTGATATATAATAAATTTAATATATATGTTACACAAACACACACAAGCATATATAAATTAAACCTTAACCTTTTTCTTATTCTGAACGAGCCTAGCTGAATCTTCAACTCAACCAATGGGCACTTACAGGTGCTCACTACTTACCAAGGGCTGCTCATGTATTTTTAGATTCTCAGTTAGTTGCATGCTCCATTTATTAATAAGTGGTGTGCCCCAATCAACATTCATTTCTCTTAGCTCCATTGCAGAGCCCTCATCTCCTGCAAGCAAAAGATCTGCATACACGGCATCCAGCCACACTGAGAATATCTCACCTACATGTTTCTTAGAATTATAGGGAGATGTTCCCCATATGTCTGGATGCCCGTGTTTTAGAGTGTTTGCAGGGTTTCCCTCACCTCATCATGCCAAAAGAGAGGGAAGAGGTTAAGGTGATTGGCAGATTTTACTTGTCATGTGGTGATTGAAATGACCCAGAACAATGAAGTCAATTGCGCTAGCATCTGCCAATTCTTTTTCTGTTAAAATAACCAAATGATTTAACAGTTATTAGTAGGGGTGAGCATGGGTCATTTCGGTTCAATTCCATGCTAGAACCTGAAATCTACCTTAGAGAGGACGGTTTTAGGTTTTTGGAACTGCACCTACCCTGTGAATGTCGGTTCCAGAGTCGGTTCTGGCCTTGGCAGTTTTGGAGTCAGTTCCAATATTTACCCATGTAACTTATTCTTTTTTTACTTTCCCTCTTCACAAAAAAAAAAGAAAAGAAAAAGAAAAAAAAAAACGTCTTTTAAAAACTTAATTTTTAATAATAATAATATATAGTTTAAAACTTATATTATCTTTACTAATTAAATTAAGTAATTTAATATGTAGATTATCATAATATATTAATATATGGCCCAGAATTTGTTATTATAATTTAAATTTTATAAATGTTACTATTTGCATTATTTAGTATACAAATCAAATCACTTAAGTAACTCAATGGCAAAGTGAGACCATGAGTGATTGGGTTCAAATAAATATTCACATTCTTAAATACTTTTGGAGCATATTTCAAGGCAAGTTCAGCTCCAAGGCCAATTCCATTAAGGCCAACCAAGGTCGGTTCACCAGGTCAGCTCGGGTAGGATAAATCCCCTTGACTCTAGAACCGACTTGAGTGGGGGTCAGTTCCAATAATTTGGAACTAGACAGATTGGATAGGGTCGGTTCAAGGCCAGTTCAAGATCAGTTCCATTTGGTTCCAAGTAGAACTTACCCATTTTCTCACCCTCAATTATTAGTCCTACCTAATGCTAGCAGGGGCAGAGTCGGGATTTTTTCTTGGGAAGATGCTAATAAACATAGTACAGGGTGGGGGCCAAAAGGTAATAAACATGAATTGAGGGAAAAATATAATTTGGATACCAATGGGGTTGGAATTTACAAGGCATAGGGAGGCCATGGCTCCCCTCCATCCCCGGACATTTGATGACCATCCTATCAAGTTGTTAGTAATATCTAGTAGTATCTTCTTTTAAGTTGTGTTTGGCTTGATAGAAATAGAAAAGAAATACAGAGTTGAGGGTGTGTTCAAAAGGAATTTCACAAATTTGTTAAGAAATTTCTCTCAATTTTCTCTTACTTATTTTTATCAAACCAAACATAGCCTTAAATTGAACTGCCATTAAATGTATTCTAAAGGAATTAATGTAAGGTTGATGATAATGGTCAGCTGTCATATAAATTTTTTGTTATATCAAATTAAGAAGAAAATAAATACATATTATCTAAACTTGATGTAAAACAAGTTGCTAAAAGGTTTTTAGAGGTTCATGATCGAGAAAAAGAGACCAGAAAAGAAACTAAAACTTTAAGCAACCATAGCTTTTGATTCGGGTATCCTTTTTCGAAGTATATGCCAAAACTGATCATCTAAACGAATACAATGTGTTGACAAATTAATACCCAAGGGATCCATTTCCGGTATTTTGCTCAAGTTCCATAATTTTGTTTTCATATATAAAAAGTCTCCATTTATAATAAATCTAATACCTTGATCATTTTAGCTTGTGTTTTGAACCCGCGTTTGATCAGGAAGTATCAAAGTGAAATGTTTTAGAAGGTTTGAATTCAAATTGAAGTTTTACTATTTCTAATAATTTTGTCATTTCATGTATATTTAATATGATTAACCTGTTTAGTTCTGTACTAAATGACACGTACAACTCAAATTCACATGAAATCAATTAATCTATTTAAATTAAATAATGAATAGATTTATTTAATAAAATAAACATTTCAATCATCCATTACCCCATTAACTTTGTAATGAGAATGACGGTTCAGCTTAGGGTCAGAATTTTTTGTTGAATTAAAATGGGATTATTTCAGTAATTTTTTATATAAAATAATTTATAAAAGGGTAGAATAGATATTTGAAAAAAAAAACTGATGCATTAATCTAACGTTTTCCGTCCGGAACAATAATGAAAGGGAGGTCTTTGTTAAGTTTCTCAAAAATTCAGAGGAAGTATTTGTTAAAATGAAACTACATGAGAGACTTTTATGATTGTCAAGGGGAAGGTTTTTATATTTTACCGTTAAAAGAATTAAATAGCTGAAATAAAATCTTTTTGGAAGTTAAATAAAGGAACTCTAACTAAAAGGGTATTTGTACAAAATAATTTCGCTGAATTGAATTATGGAATTTCGTCAACCGTAAAATATTATATGTGAGTTGTTTAGTGAAATCCAATTCAATCCTGCCTCCCCAGTCTTCAGTCCTCACTGAAGGCTTGATTATTTAAACGGTTTAATTAATTAGGATGTGTTTGATATTCTCCCTCTATATAATTGGGTGGATTGTGTCTTTGATTCATGAGACTTTCACAGACACGAACACACAACACGCAAACACCTTTCGAGGTTGCTGGATTTGGCCGTAGAGCCAAACCTATCCTTGTTCTTCAATATTCTTTTTCCGGCAGTGCTCACTTCTGAGCTTTTTACCTGCCTACTTCTCAACTGTTTGTAAAGTTTCTGCATCCGTCGAATTTTCTGGAAATTCCAATAGACTAATAAGTCTCCGCTGAAATCTGTTTCTCTCCAAAAAGAAACAAAGAAATTGGTACGTAGAGATTTCTAGTTTTGTGATTTCATCTCACCTTTTTCCTTCCTGATCCATCTTATATATTCTCAATTTCTCGGAATTTTTCTGCTCTCTATCTCTATCTCTAATGGGTATTTGAAGAATTCAGAGCTAAAATTTTCTGTTAGAAGTTCTAATATTGGAAATAGCTTGCTAGCAAGCAAAAACGGTTCCCATTTTTTCAGAGGGTTCAGAGCTAGCTTTCTGTTCGTCATGAGTGGGCTTGGTTGCTGGTTGTTCACGTCTGCAAGCTCTGACGACAAAATCTGGAAACCGACTGATAATATGATGATAAGAAAAATGAATGATAATATGGAAACTTTTAAACTGGATTGAGAAACATAGCTAAAAGAGTTACAGAAGATATCCACCGAATAGGTTGGTATTCTCTAACATTTGTGAATGTCAAAAGTAGCCCAGAAAGAAGAAAAAAGATTTTAAATGGTTAGTCGCCCATCCAATTATGCACATGATTCACACAGCAACCTATTTTTGTATTTTATTTTGCGGGGGGCGAGTTAGGATTTTTTATTGAGGAGATCAAAACCTAGAAAACATAGATAGAGGGGTTAAAATACAAGTAAAACTAAAATAAATTAAAGGGAATTTTTAAGGCATAAGGGGGGCCATGGCTCCCCTCCGCCACCCCCTGGCTCCGCCCCTGATTGTTTGTGTTGATTATTAGCTTGTTTACTTGAATTAAAATTAATGGTTGAAGATTAATTGTCTTAGCAATGTTTATCTCAGAGAGTTTGTAGGGGTCAAGCTAAGGAAGAGAGAAGCTTGTGAGCTGCTACTAAGTTTCATTCATTCAACCAGTATGTGGAGGCTTAAGATTGCCCAGGGTGGTGATCCCTATCTATACAGCACCAACAACTTCATCGGACGGCAGATTTGGGAGTTTGACGGCGATTACGACACGCCGGAAGAACTCGCCGAGGTTGAGAAGGCTCGTGAGGAGTTCAGGAAGAACCGACACCATGTGAAGCCCAGCGGTGATGTCTTACTACGCTTGCAGGTAAGCCATGCATGCAGCATCTACCAAACCTTTTTCTTTACCTTTTCTCTAATTAAGGCTATGTTTGGATTAAAGGAAAAAAAGTAGGGAAATGAAAAGACAATTAGCACAGAATTGTGAGCATGTTTAATGAGTACGACTTAGAAAATTATTTGGCACATGTCCCTTAATATACCCCAACCCTACCCTTGAAAAGATGGAAAATTATTAAGCACTCATCGAATGTGCTTACAATTCTGTGCTAATTAGATCCAGACTTTGATTAACTACATTCTTAACAAAAAAACCTAGAATAGTTACTCTATTCTTTGAAAAAAGGGTAAATTGTTAAAACATCCCCTAAAACTTGGTGATTGTGATCACCATCCTTTAATTTTCAAAAATAATTGCAAGTTAAAATCTTTTAACAAGAGGGATAAAAATGTTCAAAATACCCATTAAATTTATAAAAGTAGAAGGATTTGATAATTGATATTAGAAAAGCATTGACCAATTAAATCTGCATGAATTTTGATGAATACCACTTAATTGGATACCATTTTTTATGATTGATTGGTTTCAATTGAAGATGTGCATCTCATTAATTATAAATTGAATTTGTTTTAATCTCTTAAATCAAATAAGAAATTAGGTTAATTAGCTAGTTATTTAAAGAAAGACGATAAGAAGGTTGAACAATTGACACATGTTTAATTGTTGAACTTGGACTTTCCCACAGAGGTAAATCATTTAGACCGTTCTATAATTCTGACATTGAGCCTACCACTAAAACAACAAAAATAGGTTGTCTACATGATAGCTAGTTGGTTCATTCAACACTTTTCTTTTGTTTTTTATTTTTTATTTTGGACTTGTGGACCACAAAAGTTAGAGCAAATAAACGCATGAAAGAAAAGACATTTGATTGATCAAAAGAAAAGCGATAGATGAGACTCCACCCAGAGACAAAAGTTAATAAATATGGATTAGGAGGTGGGGCAAAAAATAATATGGTCATGATTTTTTAACCGATGTTCAATCGAGATAATGATTTTTTGGTGATTTTTTTATTTTAATTAAGTTTTCATTTTTTCACTTTTAAATTAGAATGAGCAATCTATTTAAATTGGACGGTCAAACTGCTGACCCAGAAACCAATTGCCGAAATGGTTCTAGTTCTAGATTCATTTTTAAAACATTGAATGCAGGGATTTTTAAGGCTTAGGGGGCCATGGCTCCCCTCGGCCCAATGGAGTTAGGGATTTTTTTTTTTTTTTTTTTTCGGGGTGGGGGGCAGTTAAACAAGAAAATGAAATAGGGAGGAGAAATAGGGCTTTGGAAAAAAAAAAAAAAAACGGCCTAAGAAGGTTTAGATTTATTACAGATTTGTAAAGAAAAAATAAAAAAGTTTTTCCTTTTAAAATCCTTTACAATTTTAGTTCAATTGTGGAAGAATCCACTTTATTATGTTTCTAATCCAGCATATTTATGTTTGCATTCAAATGCATATTTACATTGATAATAAGAACAATATAAAAGTACATCAATAAAAAACAAGTAAATTTGCATTCAAATGAGCTTTTGATAAAAAAAAAAAAAAGCATATATTTCATTGAAATTTATGTTTGTATTTATTATAATTAAAAGTCTATTTGATAAAAGAATAAATTTATCAATTTTACACTACATATCTACATCGTTTCCAAACACAACCAAAATGATTCTACCTCTCACGACGGTTGGATTTTTCTAAGTCAAAAGAATTCATCTATCATTTAAAAAGTCAAAACTCAACCCTTCAATTTTGGTATGAAGTTGAATTTTTCAATCTTGTTTGCTTAGTATTGCGTAGACGAGCCGAACCGGCACGGGCGATGTGATGTGACTGCTATTAACTTGTGCTTGGTAGGCAAGTCGCTATTCTTTGGGAGTGCTTTTTCAAAGAGGCTTATTTGTAATTTTTATATGCGAAAGGACTTCTCCACGACTTTTTCACTTATTTCCCCAGGAACCAAAAATTGCTAATATTATCTCAGATCCTTGATAATTTGATCAGACGGTGGAGATTTCACTATGTTTCTTTATTGTTGGTGAAGTGGTACTGTACTGATCCACGTGCTTAATTATTTTATTTGTACAGCTCTTGAAGGAGAATAAGTTTGTTCAGACTATACCCCCAGTAACGATAGGAGACAATGAGGAGATATCCTACGAGGCTGCCACTGCTGCACTTAGGAGAGCCGTCCGGTTCCACTCCGCAATACAAGCAAGTGACGGCCATTGGCCGGCGGAGAACGCGGGCCCACTATTTTTCCTTCCACCGTTGGTAAGTTTGATTAGATGTCATGTCATGTCAAATTGTCAATGGGTTAGGTAGGACCACACATCAATGAGTGGCTGAGACGACCCGGTTCTATCATGTCAATTTGTCAAATTGTCACTGGTACCGTTTTATCATTAACCCAGTTTTAACCAGAAGTTGATTTGGCCAGTGACCCATTGACTTGGGCGGTGAATCGTTGAACCATTTGATTCAAACAATGGTTTTTGACTGTTTTTTTTTTATTTTTATTTTTTATTTTAAATTGAAATAGAACGTTCATTCAAACTGGACAGTCAAAACGTTGACTTAAAAATCAGTGGCCAAAATAATTCCAGTTTTGAATTACCAAAGTTTGTTTGAAAACCCACCTGATCGGTTACCATGATTTAAGTTGGATTGATTTTAAGTTTTTCGGTACGTATCATGTCTTTCAGAGATTATAGTCGTGAGCTCCAAGTTGTGATTACCATAGATAATTATAGATGTTAAGTATAATAATTAATTCGGTTTTAGGTTTTTTTTTTCTTTTTGATATTTTTTGAAGCTTGAAGATTGAAATAGCCAAATGGGGTGATGAATATTAATAACTGCAGGTGATGTGTTTATACATTACGGGACATCTTAACACAGTCTTTCCAGCAGAACATCGCAAAGAGATTCTTCGATACATATACAATCACCAGGTAATTAAGGACATGACCATTCAATCTCCTGAGCATTATTCAAATCAGAACTTTGGAAGTTTGAAACTGATGATCAAATAATAAATATGGCAGAATGAGGATGGAGGTTGGGGGCTACACATAGAGGGCCACAGTATCATGTTCTGTACTGCACTGAGCTACATCTGTATGAGGATTCTGGGAGAAGGGCCTGAGGGTGGCCGAGATGGGGCTGTTCCTAGAGCTCGCAAATGGATTCTTGACCATGGCGGAGTTACAGCCATGCCCTCTTGGGGAAAGACTTGGCTTTCGGTAGGACCTACCATTTTAAGAATTAATAATACATTTGATCTCTCTACATTGCTTAATTATAGGCTGTTTAGCGTGCCTTTTTGGAAAGATCTTCTGAGAGCTTTGACATTCAAGAGACGTATTGAGCTTTTGCATAAAGTTTTGAGTAGCCCAAAGCACGTTTGAAAAATACGCATCTTTCCATGCATCTTTTCACATCTTTCCACGTGAGATTAAAACGCAAAAGATGCGGAAAGCTTCATTTGAAGCTTCCTGAAATCAGTCTAAAATGGGCGTCTCGTGTCTTTTTGGCGCTCCGTCTTTTGGTGGCTAGATCTTTCACAAGCCAAATGGGAATAGATCGAAAATCGATCTTCCTGACTTGTAAACAGCCGAAAGATTGCGCAGAAAGGCACACCAAACGAGCCCTATGGTGTTTTCAAATATATATCAAAGTGATCTAACTCGTTCAATTCATTATCCTTGTGATATGCATTCATGTAGATACTTGGAGTCTATGAATGGGAAGGCAGCAACCCAATGCCTCCAGAGTTTTGGATTCTTCCATCCTTTCTTCCCATGCATCCAGGTTTGCACTACCACTACCAATACTTTCCTCTTTGTTTGCAGTGTGAATTTTATTTACACTGGTGTAAATACATGACCTAGTAAGTCACGCAAATGCAAATTTTGGTTTACTTTTGCTTTAGACTTGACTTAGTAATATGGTGTAGGGTTCGACTATGAAACTGGAAAAACATGACTCCAAAAGTGACTAATAATCAGGTTGTACTCTATAAAATTCATGGGATTGCTTTGATTGGTCAAAGTTCTTTCGATACTATGTCATGCAGTATCGTAGGTTTTCCCTACGACATACGATGTAATCCCCACCTTATATCAACAAGAACAGGGGTTGGAGGGTTATTTCTTTGGGAATGAGGTAGGAAGAAAGACGATGAGGTTCCCACTTTATATGAAAGAGGATTAATAAGGTAGGAGGGCATCAGTTTTTGGGATGCAAAATTTACGTTGCTAGTGAATGCAAATAAGATGATGCAAAGTGTAAAGCACAGCAAACAAGCGGGCCCCCATACAAGAAGAGCAAAATAACTATTCAAACAAAAGCAAGCAAAGACACTATAATTACTTCACAAACAATATACTACAAGGCAAAACACACATCATAGGAACTAACAATAGACTAGAGCCCCTATTTATGGTTGAGTTTAACCACTTATAAGGGGCAGTTTACAAAACTTATGATGCTCAAATGGAGCCCAGATTTCTTACTCCCTTTTTCTATCCACTTTCTACCCGCTGTGAATTGCAGCCACACATCTCTCAATTCATAATAGAGATGTGTGGCTCCAATTCACGACGGATAGAGAGTGGATAAGAAATCCCGAGTGGTTCAAATGGACCACGTGGGCCCTCCTATAACCACAAGCGAAATCAGTGTTAAAATCGGTATAAGATGGTGGTTTGGGAAGTTGGTTAGCTAGAGAAGTCAGTGATGACTTCTATCACAAAGATGGTCACAAAAGGATGTAAAACTGAAACAGCTGCAGAATTTATATCTGGTTCAGATTTGCACGGCAAACAAACGGGGCCTTTTTATTTTGATTAGAAATGCTGTATTTTCCTCTCTCTCTCTCTCTCTTAACATGTTGTTGGGTATTTATATGCAAATTGAATGCAGCAAAGATGTGGTGCTACTGTCGCATGGTTTATATGCCAATGTCCTATTTATATGGAAAGAGGTTTGTGGGTCCCATCACTCCTCTCATTCTACAATTGAGGGAAGAGCTTCACACTCAACCCTACCATGAAATAAAATGGAGCAAGACCCGCCACATATGTGCCAAGGTTGGTTCTATTTGATTGTTTCTCTTATTAATATTATATATCCTTCATCAATATGTCAATTAACATGTTTATGTTACATTAATTAAACTTATCAACTTGTTATTACAGGAGGATCTCTACTACCCTCATCCCTTCTTACAAGATTTGCTGTGGGATAGTCTTTACATTCTTACTGAGCCTCTTCTCACGCGTTGGCCCTTTAACAAATTGATCAGAGAGAGGGCGCTGAAGACAACAATGGAGCACATCCACTATGAAGATGAGAACAGTCGATACATTACCATTGGTTGTGTAGAGAAGGTATTGCCACAGACCTTATAATAAATGTTGCATATATCTGAAATCTGTTCAATCTTTCTGGTATCTAATAGTATTTACTAATTTGAATTGAAGTAGGTGTTATGCATGCTTGCTTGTTGGGTGGAAGATCCTAATGGAGATGCTTTCAAGCACCATCTTGCCAGGATCCCAGATTACATATGGGTTGCTGAAGATGGAATGAAAATGCAGGTATGCACACATCAGGCTTAATTGAGCCTCAGTTCTTTTTCAGTTTAAAGATGGGCAAACTCCTTAGTTATCAAACAATTTAGATCTGATTCTAGTAAT